GGGGGGGGGGTTTGTAGACCGTACACCAGGCTGTTTTCGCAGTCTCTGTGTGTCAGTGTATGGATTTTTTTCCCGTTTGTTTTTATCCTTGAAATGGGCAGGAGGGAGGGGGTAATTTCTAGACTAGAACCTCACTTTTTGTTCCTATGTCTGTGTGTTTGGTGTTCGTTCATATTCTGAAAGCTTAGTGCTCTGACCTCGGTGCACCGCTACCCCCAGAGGGCTCTTTGAATTCTTTGAGAGAACGTCGCTCTGCATGTATTAACTTTTGCTATTCTTTATCTTTTCCGTTTCGTGCCTTCCCCCCTCTCCCCCCTCCCCCAAAGCGCCCAATTCCAAATACCCCTACAAAATTAAATCAAACTCAATGAAAAGCGGGAAAAAAAATTCCGCGCTCGAGCGCACACACAAACACATACACACATACACGCATGCGCGCACGTACAAACACTTAAACACAACGCACATATCATATACACATACACACACTCACACCCCCATCACACACAAACACGCATGGACCCACGCACGAACGCTCTTCGGTCCTCTCTCTTATTCTGTTGAGTTCCTTTCAAGCGTTGTGTCCCCCCTGGACCCCGTCCACTCGTGTGCTCGATTCAGGGGGGTTTATGGAGCGAACGCCCTCGATTGAAAGTCAACCACTTGCAAAGGCTTCTTCAAACCTATGTTTAGCCCAGTCAGTACCCTCGAGAATCTATAAATAGATCGCCGAGTGTCTCTAATGCGGAGGGTTATCGATTGCTTTTCGCCTTCCTCCCTCTGAAATGCCCGCGCCTCTTGTCTCCTCTCCTCTCCTCCGCCCCCCCCCCTCTTCCTCCTAACTATTCTTTCTGCCTTCTTTTTTCCGCCTTCTCGCTTGAGCGCCCCCTCCTCTCTCCCCCACTTCTCGGGTGTATTGAATGCGGCGGCATTTGTGTTGTCGTGGTTGCCATTGTAACCCCAGCACTAAAGGCAGAATAATAATAATGATAAGCACAGTGTTATTATTATACGCCCATAGCTACAGTGGGTCGTGCTTCTTTTCCTACAAAACACAAACAAGTCTATAAAACAAAAACAAACTATGTTTTATGTCCTGTCTTACCATTAGGTGTAATTGTTACACCCTTTGCGACAGCATGCAGAAGACGCGGTTCGAATCCCGCCTGGAGAAGTTGTGTTACATTGGGTGACTCTGACTGTCTGCTGGGATGATATGTCCTTGAATGACCAGGGACAGACAAGGTCGAAGCAGCACATCTCCCAAATGATATGCATTGTATCAAGCCGCCATTTTTCTTTTCTGCCGGTGCCCCTGCAACGCCCCTTTTAATTAAAGAATATTATTTTACATCTCCTGCTTTTGCCTATTGTTTCCAGTCAATGCATTCCGCCCGGCGTCTGTAGTGTAGCGGTTAGGTGCCTGGGCTGTCGCTTGCAGGAGACCCGAGTTGGAAAATTTTAAATATCGGGTATCTCCCTCCGTCTTTCTGCTGGAATGTATCACTATCAGCCCGGGTTGGCCCAGACTGGGAAGGTCGGAAGCTCGCCTCCTAAATAAATGATCTACATTGTGTCAATGGGGGGCGTAAAACACCGAAATAAAAAAAGAGTAGCTGCGTTCTGTTTGACTCGGAGTAGTGCAGGATGCAGTGTTTGTTGGCGAGGAGTAGTGCAGGATGTAGTGTTTGTTGGCGATCCGGGGTCGTACATAATATCTAGATCTGGGGTGTTGGTGAGTGTTCTATTATGGTTTTCTCATGCTTTCCTTTTAAACGTACTTCTATCGTCCGAAATTCTCCTCCTTTTCTTTGTATTTCACTCTCTAGTAGCACCTCTAATCGTCAGCCCGTATACGGCCTAATTGTTTTGCAGGTGCAGTAAAAATTGTTACGTAAAAATTAAACATTATTGTTGTCCAATACAGTTTTTGGGGAAACTTATCCGTGATCATGACGACGACTCCGTCAACCATCACTCAATTATAGTCAGATTAGCGGCGTCCTTTGTTCAGCAAATGGATGATACGATGCAAATGATAACTTTTTTGGGGTGTGTGTTCCTTCCTTTATGTCACTTTGTGATGCAATGAACGTAATTATATAGTTAATGCATTTTTGGCATTAACAGTCCACAGACACAACCTGAAAAAGAGATGTGACCCCTCCCCCCCC